AAGATTGACGTGATGTCAATAAAGTTGTTTAATTGAAAAAAAAAAAAAAATTCTCACCTACACTACATGCCAAGGACCGCCTGATATACAACACCGCTACTTCGACTGTCAAGCTGCGATACGTTTTAGCAACAAAGCTAAAGAAGACTGCCAAAAATCGACCCCCTGTGAAGGTTCAGCCCTCTTAACTGCATCTTCGACAAGGAAAAGGTTGAATTACGTCGTGTTTTAAATGAATCCAAGTACAATATATATAAATTTGATGTAGATATTGATTTCAATTGTACCCCCTCCTCCACTAATATTTAAAACCTGTAACGACGTTTAGATGACCTAATAAAGATAGCTTTTGTTTTATTTCTTACAACAAAAAAAGGAACCTTTGAAGAATATCTGCATCCCAAAACACATTCATTGCGATCCTACCTAAATTAGAATTTTGTGGTACCGCCGCTACAATCCTCACAGATCACAGCTTTGTCAAAGACGATTCTGCAAAAATATCAAAAGACAATCCTAACTGTCCACATTGTCACCAGGAAGACCAAACTATCAACCACCACAGATGTCCCGCCTTCATAAATTCCAAACAGCCATCCTCCTAAAGCAAGTTTTTACTCATCAGTGGCTTCTTTCTTTCTTATCTCCACTCAATCATATTATGGTATCAAGCTTGTTTGACAACCATCATGACTGGGTGAAGTAGAATGCGTCTGCCTTTGTCCTTAAGACTGGGAGTACTACTCAGTGGCAGGCCACTGACTTAGCTCCAAAATAAATGGCCGCCTCTGACATGAGGAACAGACACCATGTACAGCTGCTCCTAACATGGAGTACAAACGCTGCTCATCCTGTATCCCTGGAGTCCTTACAGGGTACTATGGTCTAGACGATGACACCATCCTGACATCTACACATATCTATAAGTACTTCCTCGGTGTGGAACTGAGGAGTGAAGACCTTGTCTGGAGGAGAACTCTCTCAAGGTGGGGAAAACCTTCCTTGCTGAAGACATATGTACCCAACTATAAATATTTCCCTACATTTTATCTACCCTTTATTTACTATTTTATTATATATTTTCCATCTTTGTAACAATTGATTAGAAGAAACAACAACAACAGCTTTATTAGAACATTTCCATTCTGCAAGGACTCGCTATACATCATTTTCATGGAGAAAAGAAAAAAAAAATCAATACAATTGTTTAAATTGTCTAGGTTTGGCGAATATTTTGAGCCATAGACACGATGAGATGAGACAATTAGGTCGATTATTAAACAAAGACAGACTTTCAGGGATTTGAGAAGTTGTCCCCAATGAGACTCATGGGTGTTCCTGATAATCGTTATCTTTGTGTAATCACAAAGGTGCCCATTTTATCTTAAGCACAGAGGGGGGCGACCTCCAGAACTTCCTGTTCCATTCTGGAGCATTTCATCATGCTATCTCAATAGTATACTCAGACATTATTCAAATCTCTCTTTATATAAGATGACCAAGTTTTCTTAATATTGTCAAGAGTCATCAGTAAAAAAAATACATATAACTTATTCATAAAATGAAAGGATTTAAAAGCACGAATGTTTCTTTTATACATAACACACACACACACAAAAGCCTTTATTATGACACACTGGTCTTACAGAGGATTCTCCTTGGGGTTACAAGACGGAGAAACCTTTGAAAGTGGTAAATATACAAAGGGGTAAAACTGGAGAAAGATTATATACACATGATAGATATATACAGATTATTATTTGAATGATCCTATGGAAAATGAGAATATGGATTTGGAAATATGGATGGAAGAAGTGGAGAGCGAAAAGAGGAAAGAAAACAGGTATTTACATATGGAACATACATATAATGAAACAAGTCAATTTAAGCCCTTCTGCTCACACAGCACAGGTGGACCATGGCTTTTTTTCAAGAAATCTTTAAGAGATTTTCCAGGAAAATCCAAGTGTTCAGAGTTGTAAGGTAAACACCGTTTTATCGGTGTGGGGGGTTATGTTTCTTTTATACATAATACAAACTTCTACTGTCCTTACTGCGACGAAAAAATATATTGGGAGGGCTTGGCTCATCAGTGGTGAACCCTCCCAGCGGTTTCACCAATTTAATCTACCAGACCGCTTCTCAGAGCTCTAATACTGTATTGGATCATTCTGTTTATATATGTTACACTGAAGGATGGAATCTTAGAAATGGTATTTAAGCAAATTATGGACATAGGCTTTAAGGACAGTAGATTTATATATAAATAAATATTTGTATCGAGCAATGCTCTTCCGCAATCATCATTCAATCTTATCTTCATCATGAAATTTCTAGTTTTAATGAATATATATATATATATATTCTATGGAATGTTCTATATTTGTGCCATTGGTTTAGTGGTTGTAATTCTAAAATATATTGGGGATAATATGTATGTAAATATTTCTTGTATAATTTATTGCCCTAAAATGTAAATTTAAATTACTTTCTCTCTCTAAAACTATAAATAATTTGTTTCTATATTAGTAAATTAAATTCAATTGCCATCTATCGTTAAAATTTTACACAAATATATCTACCGGCAATGCGTTTCTTTTAAATATCATCAAATATTATCTCTACAGACCTTACTGCAATGATATAAGTTATTGAATGAGAGGGTGTAACAAATAAATTTACCGGCAATGCGTTTCTTTTAAATATCATCAAATATTATCTCTACAGACCTTACTGCAATGATATAAGTTATTGAATGAGAGGGTGTAACAAATAAATTTACTGGCAATGTGTTTCGTTTTCAATAATATCATCAAATATAAACTCTACAGACCTTACTGCAATGATATAAGTTATTGAATGAGAGGTCTTGTTTCTTTTCAATAATATAATAAAATATTATCTCTACAGACCTTACTGCAATGATATAAGCTATTGAATGAGAGGGTGTAACAAATAAATTTACTGACAATGTGTTTCGTTTTCAAAAATATCTTCAAATATTATCTCTACAGACCTTACTGTAATGATATAAGTTATTGAATGAGAGGGTGTAACAAATAAATTTACTGGCAATGTGTTTCGTTTTCAATAATATCTTCAAATATTATCTCTACAGACCTTACTGTAATGATATGAGTTAATGAATGAGAGGGCTTGACTCATCAGTGGTGAACCCTCTCAGCGGTCTAGAGATTAATTTGGCGAAACCGCTAAGAGGGTTCACTACTGATGAGCCAAGCCCTCTCATTCAATAACTTATATCATTACAGTAAGGTCTGTAGAGATTATATTTGATGATATTCAAAAGAAGCGCATTGCCAGTAAATTTATTTGTGTAAAATTTGTATATATATTTTAAAACTATTTATATAAAATAGATTAAATATATATGCAAATATCTACATAGGATATAGCATGTGTTTTGTAATAAATATAAATAAATAAATAAAATCACAAAAAAAAGGCAGAAGAAGAAAAACAACAACAAAGTGTTGGAATATTACACAGAGTAACAATGGCTATAGATGAGACTGAGTTTGAAAAGGAACTTGTATGCATATAATGTTTATAGTATTCGTTTTGTTATTTTTATGTATACATATATACCAAGATTTGTTTTGTATAATTACTATTAATAATAAATAATATATAAAGTTAAATTGGTTAAGGATTCATCCTTCTAATTTATTAAATAACACAAAGAAACAACGGAAAGGAGGATTATTTGTTATTTAAAAATTCCCAGAAAATCGATCAAAGCGTTGGAAGACTGACCGTCCTTTAACTTGTGATCTGTGTAATATCAGAATACAAGATGAAATAATGAATGTTCTGAAAAACGAAGCAAATAATACTTTCTTAAGCTTTTTCCCCAAGAAATCCCTAAATACTTTCGTCCAAATTTTTATAATACTCAATTTGTTACAAACCACGGAATTTTCAAAAGAATTTTAAATAGAATAAAGGCAGTGGAGGATTCAAGTTGCTTTAGTGGTATTGAGGAACAAACCTCAAGACATCTACTGATCGATTGCCCAGCATTTCAAGATTATAGAATGAAGAATGAACTAATTGTTTGTAAACATAACGATTTGATTTACCGATAAAAAAAATCATATTTAAAATATTACTATGCGAATATATTAAATACATGACAATATTATCCTTTTACTTTGAGTACAATTGTTTCATGTCCACTGAAACACGCCAGCCCTCTAAAAACAAGCAATATATACCTTTATTAAGATCTTTAGTCTTCTATACGGTGGAAGGTTGGTATAAACTGTTGGTTTTCGACAGTTAAGACCCAGGATCAAATCCCGCATTGATAAAATTATCCTCGTTTTCTCTGGGTACAATTGTTTCACACACGTGCATGTGGAAATCTCGCCTAAACACAAGATCATTCTAGTTAAATTCCTTAACACAGTCATCGAAAATGCTGGGGACACGGATTCCATAACTCACAACGGCCTGTCTGAACTCAAGGCGGCTTTAAGCTCCTGATGAAATCCAGACGTCCCTCCTATGAGGGCTACGTCTGTTGTAAATATTTCTCCCTATTTTGCTGTAACCTCTCTCCCTACTGTTGACTAGATGTCAATGAACTATTTTTAATTGTCAAATTTTCACACATGCCCACTGAAACACGCTTGTTCGGCGGTACATATACTAAAATTGGAACGATACAGAGAAGATTAGCATGGCCCCTGCACACTGAAACACGCTAAGTCTCTAAAACAATCAATCAATGTGTTGAGAATTAAATGTATACATCTGTGAATATTTATTTGTTATTAATCTTTTTATTTTTTAGGCTAGATCATTTGTTAATACTGCCTATTTTGCATAATTTTGTTTGTAAAATAAGTTATTATGTTTTTTAATTCTTTTGACCACGGGCCAAGTTGTATAAATAGTTTTGTTGTTTAAATAAAGTGTGAGCTATCGCAATGCCTTTATTAAGTATTTAGTCTTCTATATGTGAGATTTTTCAAGCAAAAATAGCTCAGTTGGGAGAGCGTTAGACTGAAGATCTAAAGGTCCCTGGTTCGATCCCGGGTTTCGGCATTTTTTTTTTTTTTAGCTTCCAATTGGTCGAGTAGCTAGGATACCTGGCTCTCATTCAGGAGGTTCAGGTTCGATTCCCGGCGTGGGAATCTTTTTTGGGCTTGAAAATCATACACTTTGGTTAGTCCGTAAAACCATATTCTTTCTCTATACGTGGAGTCGGTGGAAGGATGGTCTAAATTGTTGGTTTTCAACCGCTACGTACCAAGATCGAATGTCACATTGGGCACTTTTTTATAATAAAAAATAATTCTCCAATGGCCAACGATTTTTGCAAAAGTCCAACCCTACCAGCGAGGCAAGTAAACAAACGGGGCTCTGGCATATTTATAAGTGCAAAAGTCGAACTGCTTTTCACATGTATAGACATGTGGTGTACTTACAGTAAAATCAGTCGCTAACTTCTACCCACCATGATTATCATGGCCTATACCACGTGTTGTTGTGTCCAATGAAGAGCCTCAGATATCTCTGTACATCTCTATCACAGCAATATTCTCTATCTTGGGTGTGTAAAGCTGCTGTTCTGGGTCAATTTTCTGTTGTTGTTGTGTCCAATGAAGAGCCTCCGATGTCTCCGTACATCTCTATCACAACAATGTTCTCTATCTTGGGTGTGTAAAGCTGCTGTTCTGGGTCAATTTTCTGTTGTTGTTGTGTCCAATGAAGAGCCTCAGATGTCTCCGTACATCTCTATCACAACAATGTTCTCTATCTTGGGTGTGTAAAGATGCTGTTCTGGGTCAATTTTCTGTTGTTGTTGTGTCCAATGAAGAGCCTCAGATGTCTCCGTACATCTCTATCACAACAATTGTCTCTATCTTGGGTGTGTAAAGATGCTGTTCTGGGTCAATTTTCTGTTGTTGTTGTGTCGAATGAAGAGCCTCAGATATCTCTGTGCATCTCTATCACAGCAATGTTCTCTATCTTGAGTGTGTAAAGCTGCTGTTCTGGGTCAATTTTCTGTTGTTGTTGTGTCCAACGAAGAGCCTCCGATGTCTCCGCACATCTCTATCACAACAATGTTATCTATCTTGGGTGTGTAAAGCTGCTGTTCTGGGTCAATTCTCTGTTGTTGTTGTGTCCAATGAAGAGCCTCAGATGTCTCCGTACTTCTCTATCACAGCAATGTTCTCTATCTTGGGTGTATAAAGCTGCTGCTCTGGGTCAATTTTCTGTTGTTGTTGTGTCCAATGAAGAGCCTCAGATGTCTCCGTACATCTCTATCACAGCAATGTTCTCTATCTTGGGTGTGTAGAGATCCTGTTCTGGGTCAATTTTCTGTTGTTGTTGTTGTGTCCAATGAAGAGCCTCAGATGTCTCCGTACATCTCTATCACAGCAATGTTCTCTATCTTGGGTGTGTAAAGCTGCTGTTCTGGGTCCATGTCAATTTTCTGCAAGGCTGAGACCATTTCTGGACATGAGAATATGTGGGTAGGTGTTAGTTTCACACCAGGACAGTTGTTGCATGTCCAGGTACCACGTGTACTAGGGCTAAAAAAAGTATTCTATACAGATTTTCCTGAGAAAAACAGAATGAATGGAAAATAGAAAGAAAAAAGAAATTCGAGTTTACAAATTTATATGGTAAATATGTATATATAGAGCTATATATATATAGTACCAGTAATCAGCAATGTTATTTACAATATATCAAATAAGGGGAAAGAAGAAAGAAAGACTTGGTATAAACTTATATACAAGCAATTCCTTTTCTTAAAGAACAATAATTAGAAGTATTGACAGAAATTTAGATATACAGTTAAACCTGTCTATAGCACTCCCTCTCTATAGCACCCTATTTTGGTGAGTCCCAAGAGGGGGCGCTATAGACAGGTTCAACTGTACATTAAAAGTGACCTGTCTATAGCATCCCCTCTCTATAGCACCCTATTTTGGTGAGTCCCAAGAGGGGGCGCTATAGACAGGTACAACTGTACATTCAAAGTGACCTGTCTATAGCATCCCCTCTCTATAGCACCCTATTTTGGTGAGTCCCAAGAGGGGGCGCTATAGACAGGTTCAACTGTACATTAAAAGTGACCTGTCTATAGCATCCCCTCTCTATAGCACCCTATTTTGGTGAGTCCCAAGAGGGGGCGCTATAGACAGGTACAACTGTACATTCAAAGTGACCTGTCTATAGCACCCCCTCTCTATAGCACCCTATTTTGGTGAGTCCCATTATTTGAAAAAGGAAAAAATAAATGAAATTAATTTAAAGTTTCTTTTAATTTTGCAAGATATTGATCAAAATTCTGTTCTTCAACGGGCAAATATTTCCATGTACAATTTAAAGATGAACTTTGTACAAAAAAATGTTATTATCGTTTACTCCTCCACTACATGATTGATCATTGTGAGGATATCGTTGTAATGAGAGAGGAGAATCTGACTGGTGTCTTAATAAAGGCTTTGTGTGTGTATGACAATTTGTCAATTAAAAAAATATATATTAACAAATCCGTCAATATTTACAACAACAACAACAAAAAGCCTTTATTTAGGGTCACTGACCCTATACAAGATTCACCAGAGGTATGCATAAGAACAAAGTAGTGAGACAAGGGAAATAACGATATAGACAGAAGAAAAAGAAAAAAAAAAAAAGAAAAAGAAAGAGGGAAGCAAGAAAGTCAATATTTACAAAATGAAAATACAAAAATAATTAGAGAAAATAAAAAGATAGCGAAAAGCGTGTACGAACCAGGAACATCAGGTTCTAAAGTTTAAAGCTTTCGCAGCTAGGCTATTTTGTTTTATTATGTAGTAATTTAAAGAAGAATTAATATTTACAAATTTAAATTTTCAGCCGAGGAGTCTGTGTGTATTTGTGTAAAATATTCTACGGATAGAGATCGGGGCAACATAAGAATATTCTAAGCTACTGCTAAATCTCAGTACAAACAGAAAGCAAGAAAAATAATCTAACCCAGGGGTCGGTAAACTGCGGCTTGTAAGCTACATGCGGCTCTTTGGATGTGAAGCTCTTTATATAGTTCCATACGTAAATATTATTTATACTGTTTATTGTTGGCAAGAAAAAATGTTGTGGCTCTTTAAAAACTTGTAAATTGTAATTTTTGACTCTTCCGACTCAAAAGTTTGCAGACCTCTGACCTAGAGTCATCGTTTTCTTCTCCACTACATGATGGTGATTGATCATCATAGGGATATCGTTGTAAGCCACCGGCAATGAGATATGTAGTATAAGACTTGTGTCTTAATAAAGGTTTTGTATGTATTTAGCAATACGAACATACTCAACGAAGCAATACTTCATCATAGATTGTAGACATAGGTCATTCACCCCGTGAACAAACAAAGAGGGAATTCAGCGGTTGGACTCGTGTCACAAGATCCCCTGGGGGGAGGGGACACTGCAGCTGATGTAACCACAGGGATCCTGGCATCACTCTTCTTCTTCTTTCTATTCTCAACAACCATCATGACTGGGTGAAGTAGAATGCCTTTCTTATTAAGACTGGGAGCACTACTCATTTGCAGGCCACTGACTTAGCTCCAAAAGAAATGGCCGCCTCTGACATGAGGAACAGACATCATGTAAAGTCGATCCTAACTTGGAGTACATCCTGTATCCCTGGAGTCCTTACAGGGTACTATCAGCATGGCCAGCTGAGCCCAGGTTTTTTAGTGAGCTTTTTACTGCTCCCCTTCCTCCTTTTTTATCCGGGCTTGGGACCGGCAAAGGCGGAGTTGTCTTAATAAATGCTTTATGTGTGTTTAGCAATACGAAAATACTCAGCATTACTTCAACATAGATTGTAGATACAGGTCATTCACCCCGTGAACAAACAAAGAGGGGAATTCAGCAGTTAGACTCGTGTCACACGATCCCCTGGGGGGAGGGGACACTGTGGCTGATGCAACCACAGGGATCCTGGCGTCACTCATGTCTGTCGGCTATTTCTGTTGTTGTCTTTCCACCAAGTGACTTTTTGCTGTCAGGGCGTCTATTTTTAACCTCGTGTCTCACCCATCATCTGGAAAATTGAGATTATATAGGCACACACACACAAAAGCCTTTATTAAGACACACAGGTCTTACAGAGGATTCTCCTTGGGGTTACAAGACGGAGAAACCTATGAAAGTGGGAAATAAAAAATGGAGAAAGATTATATGAGATTATATAGGCAAAGGACTCCAAAAATATACGTGAAAAGTTGATAAAAATACTTTTTAATAGGAATTTAAATCTATGACTGTCTGAAATTTACAGAAGTTAGACATCGTTTGTTCTCTGATCTAAATAATTTAACTCTCTTACATCTTTGTCTATATAAATTTTATGTTCTCTGTCGATTAATACATGTAAATTTGTAAATATTTAATTCTAAGTTTTAATTTGTTTTGTTTGTTTACCCTGCGGAGAAACTGAACAAACCACCTTATCTATGACTGTCCGAACTTTACAGAAGTGAGATTGTTCCCTGATCTAAATGATTTAACTCTCTTATATCTTTGTCTATATAAATTTTATGTACTCTGTCGATTAATACATGTAAATTTGTAAATATTTAATTCTAAGTTTTTATTTGTTTGTTGTTTTGTTTGTTTCCTCTGTAGTAGGCGCAAATATTTCAATATCGCGTCTGGTTGATTAATAAATTCCAGTAGTATAGTAAATAATTTCCTAAAGTTTCACGGCGATTGGATAATCTTACCTTTTAAAAACATTCATCGTGTAAACAAACTACGTGTAAAATTATTAACCAATCAAATACATTTATCGTCCGCGACCAGTGCTACACCAAGCGGTAAATGGCTGGAACTAACGCTTATTGGTTTTACATTTAAAAAAAAAAGTACATTAACCTTTTTAGTTTTTTGAATAGCCTATATGTTAAACGAAATCTCCAGGTATCTACATGCGAAATTTCATAATGATTGATTCTGTAGATTATGCGTATTGGACCGTACACTTCCCTGTACAGAAGAGATCACCGTGTAAAGAAGACAACGCGGGACCCTACACT